GGGGTGGCTGGGTCACCTGGAGATCAAACTGGCCTCAGGTGACAGGGATGGGGTGGCTGGGTCACCTGGAGATCAAACTGGCCTCAGGTGACAGGGAGGGGAGGCTGAGGGGTGGCTGGGTCACCTGGAGGATGCAGCAAACACACCAAGGGCAGCTCAGCTCTGTGGAATCCTCTGTGACTGTGGCACGGTCCCACAGGGATGAGGGAAGCTGAAGTCTCCTCTAGGTGTGGATTTCACAATGCTGCAGGTTTCCTGTATGTGGAAAAAACCCCAAAATAGCACCAATAAGAGACCAGTCCCCTCCCTGGCCTCTTCCAGAGCTTTTCCCAGCCTCCAGCCTGTGCCTTGTAGGATGGGAGAGCATTTGCTGCCATCTGAGCTCCAGAAAACCAGGAGAAAATTAAGAGTTTTCTCAGAGCACATGGGCTCACAGCCCAGCTCCTGACCTTGAGATGGGCCTGGTTGGTCACAGCAAGGTGCCAGGAACACCAAGGACACAGATTTATCCCTGGATGAGCTATTCACTGAAGAACTTGACTTAATCCTTGTGGGTCCCATCCAGCTCAGAGTATTCAGTGAAATCTGTGGGCTTGGTTTCCTCCCAAAACCATGGAATTTGCCCCAGGTGGGAATCCCATCTTCCCGTGCCAACACCTGAGGACAGGGGAGCTTGGGAAGAGGCCAGAGGGGTCCTGAGCATCCCTGGCAGTGAAATGTGGGAATTTTTGCCCACTCCAGCTGAGAACCCTGCGAGGGGAAGCCCAGGATGTGTCCTCCTTGCTCTTAATCAGAAATGAGCTTCCACACCTCCGTTCTGAGCTGTTCCAGCCCCGCTCTGTGCTGGCAGCAAGGAAGGAACTCCAGGTGCCCTGCAGCACATTCCACCTTGAGATAAAATGTAATTATGGAGTGGTTAATCAGGCGTTCCCTTGCCTCCCAATTAACCTTTGCAGTGTAACAAAATGCATCGGCCTTTTCTCTGGGTCGTTGCCCCATCTCATCAGCCTGCCTGGGGTGCCTGGCCTGAGCACCCTGACACCCAATTTCAAAGTCAACAGGAGCAGGGAGTGAGGCAGGGCTGGGCTGCTGGGCTTTCCTGAGCGGTTTTAGGCCAGCACAAACATCTGAGTTACTCTTCTCCCTCCTGTGCTGCTTAAACTTTACCTGCCATGCTCTGGGCAGGCATTGCTGGAAGAAGACAACATTTTGAGGTGCTCCCCAGAGGAGTGGGATCAAGACAAGGATTGACCATTCATTCCTACAGATGCTTTTAGGACTTGCTGTGACTTTTAAGAGCCAGCACCTTGTTTGAGGAGTAACTCCTACATAGGGATGCTGAGAGTTTGTTTAATTTTCAGTTTCTGGTTACCTGTCAGCCTTTTTCAACTGAAAAAGCTCCCCCCACGCTTTTGAAGGCTGGAAGGCAGCCAAGAGGAGAACTCAGCTGATCCTCTGGATTATTTCTGTTGTTTAGCTCTGCTCTGGGGTGTGAGGTTCTGACCTGTTTTGTTGTTATGAGCTCCCTTTGAATAGGTTCCATGTGCTACATTTAATTGAGTCTTTAGTGAACTTAACAGGCCCTTAATAAACCTCCCTAATGAGTTCCCGTGTGGGAGTTCAAACCACGGTGTAACGGAGTACCCAGAGCCTCCTCCCTTACTCTTCGTTTAGAAAATAATCTCTGTCATTCAGATGAACTCTTTAATTGCCTGCTGTGTGGGGAATTCAGCTGGGAGCTGGCCTGGGGCTCCCCCAGCCCTTAATCACTTTCCACGTGTGCATTTAGGCCCGGCTTTGGCCCTTGGGGCAGAGTTTGGCTCTGCTCTACCCTTAGGATGAGGCGCTGGGGCAGAACTCTGAATTTGTGTCATTGCCTGGGGGTTTGGAAGAGCTGGTGGCAGAGGGTTTGTCATCCATCAGGACATTGGAGGGAGAACCTGACCATGGCAGAGGGGGTGGGTTAGAGGATCTTTGAGGTCTTTTCCAAGCCAAACCAATCTGTGGTTATGGGATTTTGTGATTCATGTCCAGGCCCTTTGCATCCCACCTGGGAGGTGCTGCTGCCTCCACGGGAAGGGGCAAAGGAAGAGGCAGCTGTGGTTTAAGCGTGGAATGAGTTTGAGCTCATGTTTAAACCCCAGCTCAGGGTGCCCAGGGCGAGGCAAGGCCGGTCCTGCTGAGTTCCTGCACTTCTGTCATGGAGAATTCACAGATTCCCTGGGCAGGGAAGGGCTGTGCTGGCTCACCCTTCCCAGGGAACGGGATGAGGGGATGCAAACAGTGGGATGTGCTCCAGGACAGGGGTTCACTCCTCTCCTGTCCCTCCCTGGCTGCAGGTGGTGTGAAGCAGCACCAGTGTGATGCTGAGCTGAGGAAGGAGATCTCGCTGGTCTGGCCCAACCTGTCGCAGAAGACTCTGGATTTGCTGGTGCCTCCTCACAAACGTAAGTGCTGCAAGCACTGGGTCCATCCAGACACCCAGGAACCCCAGATTAGGTTTGTCCCTTATTGCCTGCTCTATCCAACCCAGATTAGGTTTGTCCCTCCTTATCTGCTCTATCCAACCCCAGATTGGATTTTCCCCTCCTCATCTGCTCTATCCAACCCCAGATTGGATTTTTCCCTCCTTGCCTGCTCTATCCAGCCTCAGACTGGGTTTCTCCCTCCTCATCTGCTCTATTCAACCCCAGATTGTGTTTCTCCCTCCTCATCTGCTCTATCCAGCCCCATATTAGGTTTCTCCCTCCTCATCTGCTCTATCCAACCCCAGATTAAATTTCTCCCTCCTCATCTGCTCTCTCCAACCCCAGATTGGGTTCTTCCCTCCTTGCCTGCCCTGTCCCAAACCCCATCTGGGTCACCTGGAGGATGCAGCAAAGACACCACAGGCAGCTGGGTGAGAGCTGCCCTGGCTCTGTCACACAGGGATGGGGCAGCTGAGCTCACCTCTGGGCATGGACCTCATTGTGCTGCAGGGATTCCCTGTGCATGGAAAACCCCAAATCCCAAACTGTGCTCAGAAGAGACCAAAGCTCTCTCTGCCAGAGCTTTTCCCCATTTCTGTCAGCCTCCAGTCTGTGCCTTGCAGGGTGGGAGAGCAATTTCTGCCATTTGAGCTCCAGAAAAATGGGAGAAGAAAAGTTAAAGCTTGCTGAGGGCTTAGACAATCAGATGCGAGGTGTTTGGGGGTTAAAGATGTTTGTTTTACTTGGTGATGTCCTGGGCAAAAGTGCTGAGAAAATGGGGAGTTTGCTGTTCTCTTGATTAGCTCTGGGTTCCTGATTAATGAGAAGCAGTGTAGACTAATAAAGGCATTGTTAATTAAGAAAAATGAGGGAGCTGAGGAGGTGGAAATCAGTGGGTAGTGACTGCTGAAGTCTTTCCCTCCATGCCTCTCTTGATTCCTCTATATCTGCTGCTCCAGTTTTTCTCCATGGTGAGTGCCCCAGTGCTGGGCAGGGAAGGGCTGTCCCATGGCTTTGAGGGTGAAAAAAACATCTGGAAAAAATGAAATATTCCTTAAAAGTGTTACTAGCCCATTATACTCCATTGACTGCAATTCAGAGAAGCAGGAGTAAGGCTGCTTTGTTGTTAAAGGCTGCCTGGGGGTCTGGGATGAATTTAGGAATTCTCTCAGCAATGCTGACAGTGCCACTGAGTTTTCCTGCCTGGTTTTTCCTACACAATCCCTGTGTTTTCCACAGAAAGCACCAAAGCAAGGCAAGGCAACATCAGGCAAAGAGTTTAAGAATCTGTTGTAACCTTTCCTTTGTTTTTATTTTTCTTTCCCTACTTTTCTATGTCTGTTTTTCCTTGTTATTCCCATAAAATAAAATTTTATTTTATTAATAAAATAATAATATTAATATTATTAATAAAATAAAATATTTTACTAATAATTATTTATATTATTAATAAGTAATTTTATTCATAAAACAATGAATTTATTATTAATAATTATTATTTATATTATTCATAAAATAAAACAATTTCTTAATAATTATTATTATTTATTTTATGCATAACTTTTTTTTCCCCTCAAAATTTTCATGTTGTTTTCTCTCCCTGTTTTTCACCATTTGCTGTTTTTTCTTTTTCCTGTCTTGTCTTCATCCTTGGAATGGCTCTGCTGTGTTTTCCCATGCTCTGGCAGCTGATGAAATGACTGTGGGGAAGGTCTATGCAGCCCTGATGATATTTGACTTCTACAAGCAGAACAAGAACAGCAGGGAGCAAGTCCAGCCCCCCGGGGGCCTGTGCCAGGTACAAAAGGGGCTTTTCCATCCTCCCTCTTGGGCAGCTTTAACAAGAATCACCAGCAGGATTCATCCAGGAGGTCTGGCTGCTCTTCCAGGCAGGGTTTTAAAGTGCTGGCTCAAACCTCTCCTGAAAGTCGCTCTAAAAAAATACATTTTAAAAAATTGTTGCAGTTACCTTTTTTGAAAAGAAATATCTTTAAAAAAAAAAAGACAACTGATCTTTGAAAGTCTGAATGCTGTGTTTAAAAGTGGCCTCAAGCACACCAAAAGATTTCCTTGGGAGACCAAAGAACTATTGGAAGCTGCTGGGAGTTTGGTTATAGAAGCCTTGAGTTATTTTTGAAAATACAAATTATTCCAAGTTGTTTTGGCTCTAATAGGTTTGCAGGTTTTTTTACAAATTCTAGAAAATATTTCCACAAAACTGGCATTGAAAGCCCAATCTCTTCCAGTAGGACAAACA